TAGCCAAATATGTTAAGTYAATATCTTTTGGTTAATATGATTAGTTTGTTCCTCAATTCTAGTGATTGTGATTAGTTTGTTTCCTTAGTTCTAGGCTTAGTACTCTGTATAWARGCAATGTACATCATCTTGTAAAAAATACACACGATATTATCTTTCGATATACCACAACCCAAACAAAAACAACAAGATGTTTTGCATCGTTTCTGGGTTTAAAGTTTTTTGTCTGTCTCTCTTGTTCGTAGTTGTAGCAAGTCGACCAACCGTTGGGACGAAGGTTTTCAACATCCAACATTATGGTGCTAAACACGACGGCAAAACTGATAATGCCAATGTATGTACACGACAGTTTTTCTCGCAATCTTTTATTTTTTTTTTAACTAGTTTTTTTTTTAAGTTGTTAATTATATTCCCTTTTAGACTTTATAGAATTAAACTCAGTTCAAAAGAAATAAAAAATCTCAGGAGCAAGCTAACATATTTTAACAAAACAGTTTCATAAGCTATATTAAACCTTCAGAATTTTAAGGAAACTTAAACCTTTAAGAAAAACTTCTGAACGTTTTGCAAAAATACAGTTAGATTCTATTTGAAAGAAATGTTAAAATCTATTTAAATATAGAATCCGCTATATTTATTTGAAGAAGCCTAAACATTTAAACATTGATCATAATTTTATACATTAACCTATAAGTTTCTTAACGTGTATGATAATAATCAGGTGTTCACAAATGTGTGGAAAAATGCATGTTCAAGAGGTGAGAATAGTAAGATCTATGTACCAAAAGGAACATACTATCTCAGTGGTGTAAAATTCGTACGACCATGCAAAAATAAAATCGAGTTCGTCATCGATGGAACTTTATTGGCTCCTTCAAACCCTAACAACATTAAACAGGACACATGGATCAATTTCAGATACATCAATAATCTCTCTATTTCTGGCAAAGGAACACTCGACGGTCAAGGAAAATACTCTTGGCCACTCAATGACTGCCATAAGAACACGAATTGTCCTAAACTTGCTATGGTACTACTTATTAAATCTTTAATATACGATTTTGTTTCAAATTAGCATTGGGTATATCCAAATCTTGTTAAACCGTTCGGTTAATTCCCTTTTGATATAAAAATTCTCAAACGCTTTAACCTTATATTGCCAATCTAGTTCTTAAAGTGGGATGTCATATTAAATTTTGGCCGCTCTAGTTCTTGAAGTGGAATGCCATAACAATTTGTTTGTCTAATTTATCTAGGGTCTTTGATTTCCTTTATTTTTTACAGACCATAGGGTTTGCATTTGTAAATGACTCAGGTATCGAAGGGATAACATCACTCAACAGTAAAATGGGGCATTTCAACTTCTTTTCCGTCCATAATTTCAACATCACCGGAGTCACTATAACAGCTCCTGAAGATAGCCCTAACACCGATGGAATCAAAATGGGTTTCTCAAGCAACATGCACATTTCGAATACTCACATAGGCACTGGAGATTATTGTATCGCCATCCTCTCTGGAACAAGTGACCTTGATATCTCTAACGTCACTTGTGGCCCTAGACATGGGATTAGTGTCGGAAGCTTGGGAAAGAACAAAGATGAAAAAGACGTGAAGGGATTAACGGTAAGGGATATAGTTTTTAATGGCACGAGTGATGGTATTAGGATCAAGACATGGGAATCTTCGGCTTCAAAGATCCTTGTTTCAAACTTTGTTTACCAGAATATCAAGATGATTGATGTTGGAAAACCGATCAATATCGATCAAAAATATTGCCCTCATCCGCCGTGCGAGAAGAAGGTAACTTGATACACAAGGAACCAAGCTTCTTTTACTTTGTTTTCTTGTCTCATAAGAAAACTTAACAACACGAAGTTTTTTTTGAACTTTGCAGGGAGAGTCTCATGTTCAGATCCGAGACTTGAAGTTAAAAAACATATATGGAACGTCAAAGAACAAAGTGGCAGTGAATCTACAATGTAGCAAGAGCTTTCCTTGCAAAAACGTTCAGTTAATTGACATTAACTTAAAACACAATGGAAGACGTGAAGACGGTCCTGCGACTGCGGTGTGCCAAAATGTCGACGGTTCTGCACGTGGCAAAATGGTTCCTCAGCATTGTCTGGATTGATTCGACTAGAACAATGATTTGTCTTGTATTTGATATATTCCATT